CGGAATAAGTCGGAAAGGGGAACACGAAAATTTGATAGTGGAAAAGAAAGGATGATCGGGGAAGAAACAACTAAAAATGTATTACAGTTGGTGACAGAATGAGGCTGAAAAAGGAACACGAAAATTTGTTAGTGGAAAAGCTCTGCGGCCACTCAAAGCTTATGGAAAAAAAATCTCATGCAGCGATAATTTACAAAAAAAAAAACGATAAGCACTCCGAACACAGGCATTGAGCATTGAGCAGGCATAAAAACATACCAAAAACTTTTAAAATGTTTTTTCTTTGCCAGCTAAACGAATTCCCCAACATTTACATAATTCTTTTTACGCGCTTTGATTTTTAAATATATATATTTTTTCTCTTTCATAAATTGATGATGAATTCGAATGTAATTGGCAAACGATTTGAAATATTAATGAAGCTTTCAATGCGGCGAGGAAAAAATCGTATCCCCCAGCTATTTATTTGTGGGGTTTTCCCTCATATTAAACAAATATCCAGGCGTGGCTGTCGTCACATGCGCTAAATAAATTTGATTTTGTCAAAAATTGTTTGCATTAAAAAGCGAGATAAAAAGAAGCTTATGAAGTGGAAAAAATATTCCCCACTGATTGGGCTTTGTGTTAATGCTTTTTTTTTTAGAATCTTTAATGAGATAATGATTTGTGATTGTTATTTGGGGTGAAAGTTGTGAAAAAACTCAATTGGTAATATGAGATGCAATGGTATAATGTTTTCTGATAAGTTGATAAGCTGATGACTGAATTTTCAATTATACTTAAGCAGATTTCCTGCTGAAATGGGAATGCAAATCTGTGTTTAGCCATTAGCACCTGTAATACAGTAAATCCCCCTATTAAATTACAGTGTTACACCGCAAAAGACGAAATTCCATCAAGATGGCGACCTCAGCAGAAAGACAACTTTTGGTAATGGCAAAGCAAAAACAAAACAAAGCCAATCAAACATTGCATTCGAGGAGGTGAGATGGGCCTTCGATAAGCTGGAATCCGGAACTGTCCTGTTCCTGGGTCAGCTCGCGGCTTTCATTTCAGATTTCATTTCGAGGACCTCCTCCGGGAGGTGGATAAACTCCCGGACGCCCTGAATTTCGGCCTTTTGCCATTTGCTCTTTTCCAACCCCCCAACACTCAATGCCACATGCCTTTTGTGCCTCCGATTCGGTTTCGGATTCGGATTCTCCGATTCGGATTCAGATTCAGATTCAGATTCTGTCTGGTCTGGCCTGGGCCTGGTTCTGGCTCTGGCTCTGGCCATTTGATGTGTCCTCTGTCGACCGTTGGCGTTCATTTCAATTAAATGCAAATCTCAACGAGGGATTTTTCCTTCTCCACTTTTTTCGGTTGCTTTTTTTTTTTTGGATTTCCCAGCCGCCGTGTTATTGTTGCCTTACTTTTGGGGTGTGTGGAATCGTTTCCAAAGTCGGGAAATGCTTTTCACGCGTCGCTGCATTTTGTTTTCCGGCAAGGGAAGCCGCTTTTCTCTTTCGTTTTTTGCCTTTTTCATATAATTTTTATGAGAGGTGTCAAGAATACATTTTCTTGAAGGGAAGTCGGAGTTTTCTTTTTTTAATAACTCCACCATAACTTCGAATTTAAAAGACTGTAAAGAACTTTTAGGTAACTTTAAGGTGTAAAAAAGGATTTCAAAATTAAATTGCCTAGAAATGTAATAAAAAATGTAGATAATTATCTTAAACCTGGTTTTTCATCTTCTCACAGATTGAAAACATCCATTTGGATGCTGTTCATAGCCATCTTAAGAGTCCTGGAGACCTCCGTTTTGCATTTCTTCCTTCCGGAAGCCTTTATTATTGACAGACTGCCATTTCCTGGCTCCTTTCAGCCGTTTTTTATCGCCTTTTTTTTCACTCTCATTTCTCTCGGCGGCACAAAGAAGCAGCATTTGGCTTGCATTTAAGAAAAGGTTTTTGCATTTTTAATGCTGCATTGTTGTCTGCCCTGGACCTCTATCTCTCTCTCTCCTTCTATCTATCTCGCCACGAATTGCATACGAATGTGGAAATATTTTTGTCGGAATAAAGGCCCCGGCCTGGTCATCACACCTGGTCATTATTTTTGTTTGGCCAGAACCGGCTTGGCAAAATATTTGCTGTTGTGTACAAGCTGCTAAGGGATTCCGCAAGTACGAATACAAAATTCATTAAGAAAATATTTAATAATCAGCCGTGTGTCTGTGTGTGATTTGTGAGTGTGTTTGTACGAGTATAAGAGGTGCCAGAGGATCGAAAAGTTGACCATTAAGTTGCTGGCTCCTTGCATGGTCACGTTCGCAAGTCAATGTCAAACACGAAGGACTCGCCTTTACCACTTGCTAGATATATATACTTCTATATATATATGTACGTATATATATATATATATATATACGACGTACGTCAGAAATTTTATTTTATTTTCCGTTGAATTTGCATAATTTCGAGCAGTCAGAGTGGCCCTGGCCGGCGGTCCAGTTGATTAAAGTGATAGACTCTGACACTGGGCTCCCTTTTCTTTTTGGCCGTCTGGCTGGCAGGTCCTTTGTTCAAATATACATACTATGCGAGTGTGCTCATGGGGAAACAGGAATTGGACTGGGGACCGCTATGCTTTCTGGTTTCGTTTTTTTTTTCTTCCCCATTTTTTAGTTTTCAGTTTGTTTTTGCAAAGTCAAGGTAAATATTAGATTTTTGGTTGCGGAATTTCTCGCTCTTTTCCGGTTCCACTTTTCCCTCTATGCAGATGCGAACGTGTGTCCTGTGTGTGTCTTTGTGTGCGAATAGCATTGTGTGCAGATGTAGGTAAGGCAAATATTAGCTTACAATTTTGGGCTTACAAAGTTTTTGGCCAGGTCGACAAAAGGCCCGCGGTGGCATTAAACAAAAGTTGGAATTCTAGCACAAAAAGTGCTCCGAGGGGCAGGGCTGAGTAATGAGATGGCACAGGCGGGGGAACGCGGGCTGGGCTTAGGTCTTTTGTGAGTGAGAAAATGCTTCAGAGACAACAAATGAGAATCATTATCATACAAATGAGAATGGTTGAGAGCAATGGAAAAGTCTTGGTAATAATCTTGAAAAATGAAGTGAGAGAAATGTTAGAGTAAAAGAGAGAGAAAATTTTTTAAATGGCAAAAGATTCATAATTACTCTTATTTTTGCTTGTTAGTTAATATACTAAACCTTAACCTATAACTCCTGCCTCTTCTTAACTTAACAAATAATTTGTTTTTCAATTTACCCTTATCCATTATTTTCCCTAACCTTCATCTTAAAGGTTTTCCTCCTTTATCAAGTCATGCCATATTTCTTGACTTTTTTGTCTATCATTCCACCGTTGGCATTTCTCATGTTTTTGTCTGCAATAATTATTTTTCCATTCGTTATTTTCATTTTCCCTTGACTTTTCCTTAGCTTTTGTTTTTGTTTTTGTTTTCTTTCCCTTTCCTTCTGGGCTGCTGAATGTATTTGCTGCTTTTGTTACTTTTAATTACAGTGCCAAATTAAAAAAATGTCGCTTCATTTGAAGGGCTCTGTTGCGGGTCCAGGTTTTAACTTTTCCTGTAGTTGGCACACTTTTCCACCATACCATACCCTTCCTCCTCTCTTCCTAAAAAGAGGAGAAAAAACACACACCGCCCCCACAGTTGTGCTCATGTCCCGCGTGTCACGTTAAATGTCAAGCAAACAAAAGGCACTTCTGTCTCGTTCATAAAAGCGTTCATTCTACCCATTAATTTTAGCATTCGTTTTTTGCCATTTCCAGTTCTGTTTCAATGTTTTTAATTTTTTTTTTTTGTATATTCTCACCCGTTGAAATGAAAAGTGGACGAACATGAAAAGCGTCCAAATGCTCTTTCAATAACCAGGTGGCATACCCCAGTCGTTTTTCCACGCTCCCATTTCCGCGTTGAAAAGGACATCGAGTGAAAATGAACAAAAATAAAATGAGGAAAACTTTTTCGCTCTTTTGTGGTTGACCGAACATTTGCAGTTAAAAGTTAAAAGCTCACTGAAAAGGTAAAAAAGTTGAGGAAAATAAGAAAAAATATTTTTAGCTGCTGCATCTTCATTGATCGAAAGCTTTAAAAAACGAGGGGAAATGCTAGCTTGAGGAGGATCTATGAATTTGCAATGCATTTCCGGGGGTCATTAGGAAGTATAGTTGTAAATTATAAAGAATGTTAAATTAATTGGGTTGTTCGTAAAAGGTGAATGTAAAATAAAGAGATTTGAAAGTGGAAAATTGATCAACATTCTTGCACCAAGCTTACTCGTCGTATGAGTAATATTTTTAGGATAAAGTTTAATTACAACATTTGGATAGATCTGAAACTGAATAAAGTATCGCAGCTTCAGAGTTTACCTTTCCGTTTAATCCCCGTGGCAACTGGTTTTTATCGGCCAGACAGATAGATGAACTGGTTGCAGTTTGTGGCAAGTGGCAAGCAACAAAGATTTTCCGGAACGGTGGCAAAAAGTAGATGCAAATAAGCAAAGTAAACAAACGACAAAAATTGTACTTGCAGCTGCTGATTATGTTGCTGTTGCTAAACGGGCTATTCTTTAGTGCAGCTGCCCTTTTTTGCATATCAACAGAGGGAAAGTTGCCATCAGGACATCTCCTTGTCCCTTGCCCCCCCCTCCATGCGGCCTCCTGCTCTATGCTCCATTTTCCATTTCCATTTCACCGCCCCCTCTTTTTGCCAACTTCAGCTGAGCCCGCCATGTGGCAGCAGGATTTTACCTCCTCCGCCTTTTTACTTTGCTGCCAGATTATCCGCTTGCCTTTTTCCTTTCTTTTCAACTGCTTTTTGTCGCCTTTAACGCCGCCTAATTGCCTAATTAGGCATTTGCTGGCCGAACCAAAACCATCCGGCCAACTCATCTGTCTTTTAGCCATTTTTCCAGGCCATCCAGCTGGCCCGTTTGTCCTCCGTTGCAATTTATTTATAATCCTCTTTTCTTTTTCCGCCTTTCCAGGTCCCGAAGATGTACTGAAGTTTGTGGGCAATGAAAGTGTCGTGGATCACTTCAAGCTCGTCACCAAGGATGGCAATAGTCTGCTCATCGGTGCCAGGTAAGTGACCATTTATCCCATAACTTTAAAAAATGAAAACTTCTAACCCAGCTGATGATTTTCACAGCTATTTTGCACTCAATACTCACTCCGCTTTCACTTCGTTACAATGTCATTTCCCCGAGGTATAGATTCCGTGTAATTCGGCTTCGGAGAATTAGTTAAACATGTTTAAGTGAAACTTCTTTGAAGAAGGGAAATTCCAAAAATTCGGCAAGGATAAGGGCAGGGTAAAAATTCACATAAAGCAAACTTCAATTTACTTTCCGCAGACATTGTATTTAATTTAAGTAGAAGATACGAGCTTGTTCACTTCCCCCAATACATACGTACAAACATGACAAACTTTCTTCAGGGCCACAAAATGGATAGTACGTATACGTAATGGGAAAGATGGTTGAGTAGAGTAGAGTAGAGTAGAGTAGAGGAAGTCTACCGTTAGCTAGTTCTCGTGGCAACTTTGATTTTGCAACGCTGGCAAGAGAAACAGAAACAAAAACCCAGTGCGAAAGGAAGCTGAAACTTTTGCAGCAGGTGCCCCAAAGATATGAGGAACTGTGCTAAAGTTTCCACTACTTCCTACTTGAGATATAACCCCAGAAGACTTAAAGGGTTGCCAACTTTTCGGCCCAGACTCGACTCGAGCCTTCTTTTTTTGGTGGGTGTATGGGAGGGCTTGGGTCGCGACTGCATACTACTGAGTATTGTACATTTTGTCGTTGTCAGAGACCACAAAATATGTTTGCAGCAAATGTTGGGTTTATTATATTTTGCCTAGACAATGCCGGAGCATATATGAGCACACAAAACACACCCACATTAGCACTCACACACATGGCCAAAGCACTGACATACATATTAAAATGTTGCATACTTTTTGGTTGCCCAACGAGACTTAATAAACTTGCCTGATTCTATGTCTTTGCATGTGAGTGTGTGTATATGAAGCGTCGTGGAAACTTTTTTTAGTCGAGGAATGCATGCAGCTTGTAATAGAAGGCCTCAGCATATAGGAAGCAAATTCCTTCTTCAAATAGAACAATGTCCAGACTTGGCTTCAACTTTAAATAGTTTGTGGTCATTCAATGCAAACAGAAATAAATGAAAAACTCAGTTTCCTTGGGTTCAGTTTGCTGGGAAAATAAATAAAATATTTACTGATGTTTATAAGTTTGACCAGTATTTGAGAAGTTTTAGAAAAATGTTTACAAATATTAACTGCAGGAATGTTATAGTCAATTGATTTGTGATTTTGTTTCAGGGTTAGTTATCTCAGCTGTCTATCTCATTTACAGATACTTTAGCACCTTATTTAAAAGCAAACTTAATCCCCTAAATAATTTCATTTGATATTAGCTATAAATTAGATTAAAACCCCTCCCTCCTTCTGAGCAATAATTTACAATGTAAGGATAATGAGGCAGTAAAATGCAAAGGCATAACTACATGAACAGAGCAGGAAAATTAAAGGAAACCCACGCATACACACACACACAATCGCATAAATGTATATAAGTACAGAGGGCTATGGTTAAGGGGTTTTCCTCAGTTCTCTTGTATTTTTTGTGTATTTTCGCACGCATGAACAAATTTGTATGCCGGCAATGTCGTTGCCAGAGTTGCCACTTACGTGATTAATGGATTTTTAACAAGTTGCACACTCGCACTGCCAAAAGGAATTCACACACGCACATATCCACTTATCAGACCCCAAAAAGAGTCAAAGTAACCAAAGGAAAACCTCTCCGGCGACTGTTGGTGAAAGCCAAAAAGCGCCACGTGTGTTTAAGAGTGTGTGCCAGTGTGTGTGAGCTTGGATTTCGTTGTGTGTGCGTATATTTTGTAGGGTGTATGGTTAGGGTGGACCAACTAAACTAGGATGACAGGCGGAAATGCGAATGTGACACGCGTTTTGCATGTGAAACGTCATGAACAATGTTTTTTCCTTTCTTTCTTTTTTTATTTTACAAAATAAAAAGGAGAGAGTGGCAAGGAAAGTTCTGCGAGGGAACTACAACAGAACGCCCCCTTTTCCTTGGCATAGCTATACCGTTACATTTCCTGTGGCAAGCAGCAGGTAGTGTGTTATGTGTATTATCCCGCACCTGATGTCAGGCCATGTCAAAAGGAATTTTAAAACTCTTATAATCGTTGCCTTTGAATTAGGGGCAGATCTGGAAGGGTTTTCTTTTATGTTGTTTGATTTTTTTTATTAAGAACTCTGCAAATGAGTTATGTTCATTGCTTCTTAGGTTTTTTTTTACAAGATATCTCCGTTTATATTCCCGAAACATAGTACAAACGCTTGTAAAACCACGCCAAACCCTTGTTAGCCAACGGAAAACTTTCACTTTCTATTTCTGCTAGGAACTTTAGAACCCCCCATCCCCCATTGCTGAAACTTTAAACTTATTACTGTAACTACCTTAGCTATTACTGTTGGTATCTCTAGTGACACTTATGCAAATAAGCTGGAAGTGGTTGTCTAAGCCAGGACACCTTCCGTTACCATCCATCCTGCAAAACTCAGCGTGCGCTGTAAACGTTCGTAAAGCTTTTTCCTGCTCGCTTTTTTAGATATTCTCGCTGTGATCTATAAATATTCCCCAGCAATGCGCTCGACATGAAAATTGGGTTAACACATTAAGATGGGAAATATGTGCCAACGTTTTCCCTGCTGTCATTGCCACATTCCATTGCCATGCGATGCGGTGCGATGCCATGCCATGCCATCGCCATCCCCAAAACCCATTCCCATTCCATATCGTTCCGCGCCCGTACGTTTCCGTTCCATTCCCTGGATGTCAGGTTGGCAGGCAATCGAATGAATCGCGACAAAGGCGGAAATAAAATTGCTAAACGAACAAAGGAAAAATCCATTTCGTTGCCTAACGGGCCTTGATTCATTCGCCATCTCTCTCGCAATCTGTATGGGTGTGTGTGTGTGTGTGTGTGTATGGGCTTGTGTGTCTGGCTTTGTCTCTCACGATTCGAGTGTGTTCTATATGTCAGCCTATCCTTTTGGCTTTTAACGTCTTTTTCAACGCAATTGTGGAGACGGCACAGTGGTTTATTTTTGGTTTTAAGTTAAACTACAAAATTAAAATATATTTTAAAAATATACGTTGGGGTTTTATTTATTATATTTCAGTTTATATTATATTTATTGATTAACTTAAGTTTATTTTACACTGCATGTACACTGTATGTTTTTCACTGTACTCCCCGTCTTATTAGCTCATCACTGAGCACCTCTTTTCGTCGTCGCGTCTTCTCACCAACTCCGCGATCCTCATGTCGCTCTCTCGTCTCGGGAACGATGCCATCGCGTCGTCGTCTTTTTCGTCTGCGTCTTGATCGTCTCCTTCGCCAGATGGTCAACCGTTACTTAGTTTTTGTTTTGTTGCGTAGCATTAGTTTAAGATTCAGATTGGTTGATAAGTTAAATGTTGGAAAAGCCATGAAACAGAAGTATTATATAGTTAGATGGCCAAAAAACGAGGCTTAAAATTTAAGTTAAGATAAATTCCTTTTTCCAAAATATATATTTAGTTTATAGTCAAATCTTAAAGAGCTTAATTAATATAGAATTTCGGGAAAATGTCTTTTTTTATACAGTTAAGATCTGTCTTATCCTACAAACCACCTCGAATTAGAGAGAGAGAGAGAGAGAGATCCTAAGATATAGTAATTCTTCCTATATAACGACCTAAATTTCTCTCCTATCTTTGCCCCACTGTATAGCTTGCATTCGCCTATCCAATTTTTTGTATGCAATTTTCCTTTTGTCGGCAGGTCTGAAAATTCCTTTACTCACAAAAACGCTCATACACACACACACACACACACCCACACTCACGGCGGTGTCCATCTTTTATTTCGTTTTACGGTTTTCGTTCCTGTTCTTGTGTCGGCACTGTGCATATGTATGGGTGGAGTCCTTTGTGCAACCGCACAACAATCATTTCTGCACCGCAAATTCATTTCCGTTTGCGCTGCTTTTTGGCTCACACATACGCATTGAAGGTGTGTGTGTGTGTTTGTGTGAATGGCGAATGCATCCGCTAATTTCTGACGATTTAAGTCCATTTCTGCGTGGCCAAAGGATTGAAATGTAATCGTCCTAATGAATGGATTGAGTGATTTCGAATTGAATTTTTGTTGTGTGTTGGCCATATCAATCCCAAGAAAAGTCTACGTATTGTTTTCCCCCGGCCATTGTTTAGGCCTTTGTCCTAGAGTATAGGAGTCAGGAAAGGTATTCCTCCTGGGGCCATGGGCCATTCTTTTAGAAGCTCTTTGTATGCAGAGTACATATCGTTGTTGAAATAGTAGAAGCTTGGCTTTGATTGGTAAATTTCAATGTTTACTGGGCAGTTTACTGTTTCAAAGATTTAAGTTTGAACATTCATTTATAGTTGTTATAAATTCCTAATTAAAATGTGAATCCAGGGAAACTTTATACTAATGATGATGGTAGAACAATGGCAAGCGCAGCATTCTGATACGCGTTTTAATGATGTGTTTTCATCGATAGGATAACATGGCAGAGCCAAATAATTCATATAATTTCATATTTAGATAACAACATCATTAGTTTATTTCATTCAAACAATAGAGGATATGTTTAGGATGAGCTGCATTACCCTTTTTTTTTTCGGCCTTTTAAAAAATGCTGACAGACATCCCAGTCTGGCCAAGAGTCAGCAAATTAAAACCATTTCCGAAATGCTTTTAATATTTTATATGGCTTTGGCTAGAAGAATGTCCAATTTTGGCAACCAGTTGGAGTTTAATCATGCTTATGAGACCACAATGATGAAATGCAATTCGCTTTGGCATGTTTGCCTGTGGCCGGGAACAAACGCTCCGCACACCTGACTTGGCCAAAGGGAAAAAGTCAAATGCCACCACCTCCTGGTTAACTGGACTGATTGGTTTGGTGGGTGAATGGGTGGCTGAATGGGTAAAAGGTTGAATGAGGGTTGGGGTGTTGCAAC